ATCATCCTATGTCTGATCTTAGTTTTACTTGGTTGATCTATTTGTTTTATGCAGGTATCTTCAGATTTGAGCATTGTTGACATTGAGTTGCCTTTCTTACTGAACTACACTGTTGGATCAATCATTATTCTATACTCTACCTATGTCATCCTATGTTTTTTCGCTCCAGAGGTCCTGCTGGTCATCGTGCTTATGATTTACGTAACTATATTAGTTCAGGTAATAGACATTGTAATTAACTTTTAAGTTCTTATAACACCTTATAGCTTTCAAATGTTAGGAGTTACTTCAAATGTGTAATTTTATCATGCAGAGATACTACAATGCTTCTGCTAAAGAACTGATGAGATTAAATGGAACGACCAAGTCTTTAGTCGCCAACCATTTAGCTGAAAGCATTTCTGGGATAATGACTATTCGAGCTTTTGCACAGGAAGGACGTTTCTTTTTCAAGAACTTGGAGTTTATTGATAAAAATGCTAGGCCAATTTTCCATACATTTTCAGCAACTGAATGGTTAATTCTACGTTTGGAGATAATATGCACGATTATCATGTCCTCATGGATGCTTGGCATGACATCTCTTCATAGCGGGAGCTCTGGTTTGTTCCATTTATGCTTTGTTACATTATCTAAGAGGCCTACTTGCGCGTATCAAAAAATCACAGATTGAACCTTGTTGCTGAACAGGACTTACTGGAATGGCATTCTCCTACGGCCTATCACTAAATGCAATTCTTGTTTGGTGTGTTCAATGTCAATGCACAATAGCAAATTCTATAATCTCTATAGAAAGGCTAGAACAATACATGAGAATACCTAGTGAAGAATCTGAACTAGTGCAAACAAACCACCCTCTACCTGGTTGGCCTAAGCGTGGCAAAGTGGAAATTTGCGACCTAAAGGTATGATCTTATCAGTAGCAAGAACCGTCAATCTATTCAAAACAATGCTAATCTTTTGGAAGTTTGTTTTAAAACAGGTGAGGTACAGGCAAAATGCTCCATTAGTTCTTCAAGGTATTAGTTGTACATTTGAAGGGGGACAAAAGATTGGAGTTGTAGGCAGAACAGGCAGTGGGAAAACAACTCTTATCAGTGCATTGTTTAGACTAGTTGAGCCTACAGATGGAAAGATCATCATCGATGAATGTGACATTTCAACGATTAGGCTTCATGACCTTAGGTCGCGTATTGGAATTATTCCACAAGATCCTACACTCTTTACAGGTTCTGTAAGATACAATTTAGACCCCTTATCAGAATATAGTGATGACCAGATATGGAAAGTAAGTTTTATATACATAGATATGTTGTCTCATTTCTAATGATTCTAAGTTGCTAACAGAATTTTGTTGTTTTAAGGTTCTTGATAAGTGTCAGCTTAGAGAGGCTGTCCAAGAAAAAGAAGGGGGCCTAGATTCCTCAGGTAAACATAAGTTGTATTTGAATTATTTTATTAAGCGTGGCCAAAAGTTCAAGATCACCCTTTACGACTCCTGTTTCTACAATACTTTCAAAATGTTGATCACCTAACTTAAGATGAGAAAATTTCAGTTCTACAAGATGGATCAAACTGGAGCATGGGACAAAGACAATTGTTCTGTCTGGGACGCGCATTGTTGAAGAGGAGTCGAATTCTAGTGTTAGATGAAGCCACTGCATCCATTGACAATGCCACAGATGCAATTCTGCAGAAAACAATCAGGCTAGAATTTGCAGACTGCACAGTCATAACAGTAGCTCACAGAATTCCAACAGTTATGGATTACACTAAAGTTTTGGCAATAAGTGATGGTGAGTTACTTATATTTACTCCAATAATAATGTTACACTTCCTTTGTCACAATTTTGTCACACTCCAAAATAATAATTTGGGACAGAGGAAGTATCTTCTATTTCCGAATTCACGGTCGATATTTAAAAGTTTGAATCTCAAAATTCCAATTGTGCCACAATGAAATTTTTGCCAATATTAGGTCACAAATTCCAAGACATCTGGTTAAAGATGAAAGGATCTTAACTATCTCGCCAAAAAGATATTAACTATCTCGCCATAACCTCAATTGATACAAAGAAAGTTTCTATTTCATAATATGTTGAAACTTACAATTTGCACATTTTTTTATTTTCCAGGGAAATTAGTTGAGTTTGATGAGCCAAAGAAGTTGATAAACAAAGAGGGTTCATTATTTGGAATGCTTGTTAAAGAGTATTGGGCTCGTACAGAAAGCTGAAAGAACTAGAATTTTTTTTATATTAAGGCATAATTATTGTATTTGAATTAATTCTAAAGTTGCATTATATGTTTCACATTTGTGAGTAGGCTATCAGATGCCAACTTGAATTGTTGGTTACAAGGTTACTAGTATGTCATTGGAAAATTAGATAAATTATTTATTTGTCTAAAATTTCTTATCCAAAATAACTCACTTATAAATTATCTTATTAGACATACATCCATATCATATATACTAATTATATCTATTATTTTATATAATCACGTATCTTACCATTAATTAAGAATTTTCTATCACATATTGAGCAAGATACAACTAGATACATGCATGTTTACTACCACATATACTAAAATGCAGAGAGAGAGGCGAGCGAGATGGGGAGGGAGATAATCATGTATCTCAAATACATGCACACTAGATACATGTATATGTATCTATCTAGTGTGATTCACATACATAGGAGAGAGGCGAGCAAGATGGGAGATAGACGAGCGAGTTTGTTTATGTATCCAAGATACATGTGAATCCACTTGGCTATAGTGTATCTAGAGTAAACTACACCTAATTTTGACTTCATGCATCCCGTGATACATGTATCTGGATGCACCAAAAATTGATAAAATTTATAATATTACAAACTAGAATGTATCGAAGTAATTAGTTACTAAGCAATATTGACTTATATAAATATTCTTGTCAATATTGCTAGTATCCCTTTCTATTTCCTTACTTTCACCATAAATGTTACCTACCCAATCTTATTTTGTGGGTTTCGTTCAGTGAAGCATAATATGCAGAGAAAAATAAGAAATAGAAGTAGAAAAGCAGCCACGGAAGAAGAAGAAAGAAAAATGGAACAATCCGTTATTGAAGAACTTTGTAGCTCAAAATTTAAAATTTAAATCTGCCGTAAATGTGAATTGTTTTGAGGGGAAAATATATCAAAAGACTTAAAACATTTAGAGGAGCCCATACCTAGAATTTGAGACTGATTAGTGGCGATTTGAGTTGGCCGAGATTGAAAAAACAATCAGTCTGTTAAGGAAGATAAAATGTTGCAATGTATAAATATTGTATCACAATGTATATATCATATATATACATCTCTGATACATAGTTATACATTATATATATACACAATTATAAGTTATTTATAATATATGAATATATTACATATTTACATTTACATGTGGCTATGTAGTTGAAAATTGTTTTTTGCCAGCTGTACATTTTTTCGTAAAATCCCTATTGGGCCCATTCTGATAGCTCGATAAAATTAGTTATATAAGCCCAATATCATGTATTGTGCTCATGAGAGTACATTCTCTCGAACCACAAAAAGAAAATAATGCAAAAAAATTAATTTCAATCTTTTTAGATTTTACTGTGTAGCAATTAGGGGTGGGCAACTGGGCATAGTACATGGTAGATACAAAAATATATCGATATCAATTTTTTTTTTATACCTTGACTAAAATTATATGGTATTTGGTATGATATTTTTGTAATCATTTAAATTTATTGGATATAAATTTATAAAATGATTCGGGTTATATTAAAATTAAGATATATTCGTTCAAATAAATATTGTGCATTAATATAGAGTAAATTTTAGGTTTAGCAAACATAAAAATCATAGTTGTATGTTATCACTATAGTTTGTATAATTGCGCTCCATAATAAACTTTATATTTGCTATGGCTATTAATATGTATATTTCGGCATACATATACAAAAGAATCAATTGTATAATCTGTTTCGGAATATGTATACAAAAGAATCAATAAAGCGAGAAAGAGAGAAAGACAAAAGAAAACTGGGCAGGGGAAGATCTGTATTTGTATAATTATAAGTGTATTGGACGAAAATATATGTATTTGTATATACAATTTTCTCTCGCTTTATACAAACACAAACGCAATTTATACATTTGTGTTTGTATAAAGTGAGAGAGAGTGGCGAGCGAGATTCTCCAGGGAGAGAGGCGAACGAAAAGATATGTATATATACAGTTTTCTCTCACTTTATACAAACACATACACATTTTATACATTTGTGTTTGTATAAAAGTGAGAGAGGCGAGGGAGAGACTGCCAACGAGAAAAGGAGAGTGGCGAGCGAGAATTTCAGGGAGAGAGGCGAATGGCAACAGTTTGCTACGGGTTACAATTAAATCAAACTGTGGTTATAACATTTACTTTGAATTAATAATTTGCTATTTTATACAATTTTCCCAATAATATAATTTGACTAATTATTTAAGTCAAATAAATATGAATTTATTTAAAGTCCAATTTCATTGGACTAGTCCATTGATTTGGGCTAGTGGTGGCAAATGGGCGGATTGGGTAAACCTTGGGTAGGTTAAAAATGGGTTACAATTCAATCCACCCATTTTAATATGGGTAAAATATGGGTTTGGATATAATATGGGTTGGATAAAATACTAGTTATACCCATTTATAAGAGCATCAATTCTCCAATAGTTCTCTCATTTCCGAGAAAATGAGCTAAAACAGTTTCTTAGCTCTGTTTCCACTCCATAGTTAATGCATCTGCTCTCCATTCTTTAGTTGATTAAAATGGACCCCAAAGTAAATAAAATAACTTAGCAAAGTACAAGTATAATATAAAAAATAAAAGAAAAATGTAAGAAAAGAGACAAGTGTTAACAAAAAACAACTTACATAAACTACTACAATTACACCAATTTCTTTTCTTTTCAACACACTAGCAGAAATACACAAAAACACCTCATACATAGAGCAAAACTTTGATAGCTCCAAATTACTAATAAGCAACAATCTTCATTGGACTCCATTGGAATGTAACCAAAAAGTATTTACAGCAAACACTGTCTAAAATATTCGTCTAATGCATAAAAACATAATAGGCTCACACGCCTTAATATAATAAACGAAAAACATATGTAAAATGTTATTATATATAGTCGATCTTGCAGCCTCTTTCTTCATCTCCGCAGTGTTTCCACTTCCTCAAAACTATATTTGGACTTGCTGCACAAGGTGAAACAATTTTAAAAAATGAATTGGGTTCCTACAATGAGTTATCAGACACTAATTCTGATTTTGACATAGATCTAACAGAATACAAAAATAAGTTTAAATATTTCATTGCATATGAGTGAAAGTCCTTTGCGTTCCAGCCCATTAAATACTGGTTCTTGTCAAACTTTCAAATGAAAAAAATATAAAGCTTACCCCAACTAAAGCATGTCAGCCTAAAAGATCAATTGCAAGCTTGTTGCATTCTATCAAAATACGACTGAACATCTACCGCAATCTCATCATCATATTCATTGAAACCTAAGAAAACAAATAAAAGGAAGAAAAATTATTTACTGGAACACCAATTTGTAACAAAACAAAGTAAACATGTAATAAGTGTAGAATGATTTACCTTCTTGCCCACAAAGTCAATCTATAGTACATAACTTCGCCTCCGCATTTGCAGGTTAAATAGAACTTGTATATTTTTCAATAATACGACCTCCAATGCTAAAGGTAGATTCAGAGGCTACTGTGGTAATAGGTATTCTCAAGACGTCCCTTGCCATCAATGAGAGTTCGGAATATCTTCGTTTATTTTCCTTCCAATAGGCAAGTACATCCAAATCTGAATTTACTTTACGGTCAAGATTGGGCTCCTCCAAGTACAAATCCAGTTGTGTTTTATTTTTACCACACCCCAACTGAGTATCAAACGTATCGAACTCCTCAAGTTCATCCCTCATTTCATTACTAGTTTTCCCCGACAAGGAAATTGTAGTCAAAGGTACATAGAATTCTTTGAATAACAAATGTAAATGATCTGCAACGACTTTAACATTTGCTTCAAAAGTCTCATAAATCAATTTTAGAGAAGATAAACTTCACAAACTTAAGCTTATATCGAGGATCAAGAACAATGGCTAGTGATAAAATCATACGGTAAGACTTTCAAATTTTTTTTTGAATTTCTTTAACATCGATGTAGCCATTTCACTCATAACTGGATCAAAACTATCTTTTTCGTCCTTTAATAACTTCTAAATTTTTCACACGTTATGTAGATACAAATTAGCAATTGGATATCGACTTTCAGAGGACACTATAGTAATGTTATAAAATGGTTTCAAAAATTGAGCAATCGTCTCTACCCTTTTCCATTCCTCCTCAGAAAGACCATGTTTAAAATCAGTATCAATTAATTTATATTGAATATAAGCTTGTTGGTAGAGGATTGCACTTTCAAGCATCAGATAAGTGAAATTCCAACGAATTGCCATGCATGTCTTGACGAAGCTTTTTTAAACACGGCAACCCAAGATTTTTGATGCATTCCACAAACTTTAAGATTCTTTCTTCTGAATGTTTAATATTCTTAACACCTTCTCTAATCTTTACAATAGCTACATCAGCTTTTTCCAATCCCGCCTTCACAATTAAATTCAAGATGTGGTTTCCACAACGAACATAAAAGAACTTTCCACCACAAACTAGTGTTTGCATCAAAGATAAGTGTTCTTTTAAATTAGCTACCACACCCTTATTACAAGTAGCGTTATCCAAAGTAAGAGAGAAGATCTTTTTTACAATACCCCATTCCTTAACTAACTCAATTAGTAAAGTACCCAAAACAACACCAGAATGTGGAGGGGCACATGGCGGAAAATAAACACTATTTTTTTAAGAATCCAACTCAAATCAACATAATGAGCAGTTAAACACATATATCCATTTGACGCTAAAAAAGTCCACATGTCTGAAGTCAAACACACTCTCCTAGGAATCACTGTGAGCTCATTTTTTAGATATTATTTTTCCCTATCATACATCTTCAAAAAATCAGGCTTGGCAGTATTTCTTGAAATTGTTTTCACAGTTGAGTTTAAGTATAAATGGATATATCTATTTCCTTTATGTTCGGCAAAGCTAAAAGGATAGTTATGCTTGAGAATGGCCACAGATACTTTCTCATGATAAAATGTTTGATCAATTGGCTCAATCCTATGCTCTTGTCCTTTGTCTAAGTGTGAACTAATATGTCGTTTCAAATTTGAAGTTCCAGAATTAGAGTTTGCTATAAAGATCTTCTTACATACCTTACATTGAACTTTTAACCTTTCATTACTTGTAGCACGAGGCATTTTTAGAAAACTTTTCCAAACATCAGAAGTCGGTTTTTTTGCTAGTTTTGTAGGGACTGATGAACTAATCTCACAAGGTTCCTCATAAACGTCTTCATTAGCCTCCATTGACATCTTTTCCTAACATAAATAACAATTTCATATACAAACGACAAACCAAAAGAGATGCCAAAAACATGAAATTCAACATTCTATAAAACAAAAAATCCAAACATGAAATTCAATATTCTATATAAAAAAAAAATTCAAACTGTAAACTACATTCACAATTCTTATAAATAAGGAATCATTTACCACAATAAATTCAGAAACAAGAAAGAGGATTAATCACAAACCCTAACCCTAAATTTCAAAGAAAAGAAAAAGAAGAGAAAGAGGGAAGATGAGGAAAAAGGATTCAGGGGAGGAGAAATTGAGAGACTTACCAGATTATCTTTGTAACTGTGATTCGTGAAGAAACAATGAAATTATTGCTGAAAAATCGCTTCTAAAATTTTGAAAACAGTCGTTTCTTTGTAAGTTTGGAGAAAAATCTGCAATACCCGTATATGACCCATAGTTTACCCATAAAATATTCATTTTTAATGGGCTGTTTGGGTGGGTCAGTGAAAAATGGGCCTAAATTTCCGGCACAAATTTTGGGCTATAAATGATGAGCCCACTTTGTGAAGCCTAATGTCATCTCATCCTGGAGGTCCAGTTTGGTGTCATGTGTCAAATGACGTAATATGCCAAGTCAAATGAGAAGTCAATCGGATCATGTCATCTGGCAAAATGACATGACATGTCTATCTCAATCAAAGACCAATAAAAATGTGTCACCTGTGTACAAGTGACGTGTTCCAGCCAATCAAATATCGTCATGATGTAACTTAAATCTGATTGGTAGAAAAAGAACCAGTTCTCATAAACTCCTACATTCTCTACAACTATAAAAAGGGTCCTCATAATTCAGAACTTACGAAATTCTAACAAGAAGCCAGAGCTCATGGATCAAACGCCACAAATTTCTCTATAAGCTACAAGTTCAAGCATTCAAGTTCAAGAACAACTCAAGATCGAGACCGAATTCAAGAACAAGCTCAAAAAACCTTTGAATTCAAGTACAAGTCAAAATCAAGTTCATCAAGATTCAAGATCAAGCTCGAAGGCCCTTGAATCCAAGTACAATTCAAGAACAAGCTTATCAAGATTCAAGATAAAGTGTAATTGTGTATGTTATTTGTAGACGACATAGTAGTGATTGATGAGAGATGCAACAAAGTTAATGTTAGGTTGGATGTTTGGAGATAAACTTTGAAGTTTAGAGGTTTCAGGTTGAGCAGGACTAAGATTTGAATATTTCGAGTGCAAATTCAGTTATTCAATTTCTGAGACAGATGTGGAACTGAGACTTGACACATAGGATATCCTTAAGAGAGATAGTTTCAAGTTTCTTAATTTTTTAATCCAAAGGAGTACTGGAGAGATCGATGATGATATTACACATCACATTGATGCAAAATGAATAAAGTGAAGGTTTTCCTTCAGAGTTTTGTGTGATGAATTAAAAGATACCACCTAAACTTACAGATAGGTTCTATGGAGTGATGGTACCGATTTTGTTGTATGAAATGGAGTGTTAGCCAGTCAAGAACTTCAATGTTCAAAATATGAATATTATAGTAAAGAAGATGTTGAAATAGATGTATGAACATAGAATTATAAGTTTAGGAATGAGGGTATCCGGGATAAGGTGAGAGTGGCCTTAGTGGTACGGTGGACAAAAAAGGAAAGCGAGACTGAGATGGTTTGAACATGTGAAAAGGAGATTCATAAATGCCCAGTGAAAATGTGTGAGAGGTTGGATGGTGGATACGCACAAGTGTAGAGGTAGGCCAAAAAAGTATTGTGGAGAAATAAATAGATAGGTCATGACACAACTTATGTTTACCGAGAATATGATCTTATATAGGAGGGTGTCAAGGTCACAAATTATGGTGGAAGGTTAGTTTTCTCTTTCTTTTTGGTGGTGTTTGTCATAGTATTAGTCTTATTCTTGTACGTAGTTTCTTTCTTCTGATTTTTTAATCATCTGTTGTTTATTATCTGTCGATTATTGTAATACTTATTAGTTGCTATGTTTTCTTCATTGCCATTATTTCTTTTTGCACCTACTTTAATTTGCTGTACTTGAGCTAATGAGGGTCCTTCGGAAACAACCTCTCTGCATCCGCGAGGTAAGGGTAAGATATGCATACACTCTAACCTTTCCGGAAATCACTTGCCAAATTTCACTGGGCATGTTGTTATTATTATTGTTGTTGTTGTACCCTTATTTATAATTTAAAATATAACCTCTATTTATTTAATAGCTATTTTATTTATGTAATATAATTGAGATGTTTGTAATCTTTAAAAACAATTACGATCAAATAAAATGAGTAATTTATTTTTTAAAACTTCTTAAACAATGTATACATTTTTAATAAGAAGACAAATAATTTGAGATGGGGGAGTAATTATTAAATTGTGACAGTATAAGAATAGAGCAAGACATTTTCTTTTCATTCAAAAGACTTATTATAATACACTTGTCCTTTAGATGGTAAAGCTCTTTAATTTGTGTTCTAAAAATACATCAAACAAATGAAAATTATTCTTTTAATGCATATACTTTTTAGATCTCCCACCCCCCACCAAAGGTGTATAATATTTTCTTTTTGATACACTTTTTGTCTTATGTTTAGTTCAATGAAAAAGAGAAATATGCTCTTTTTTTCCTCATCAAAAAGCTAAATTTAGGATTGATGGAGAGAAAGTACGAGTAGCAATGTTATCATAATAATAATATTGTAAAAGAACACGGTTTCAGAATTAAAATCTAATGTATTAAATTTTCAGATTTTCAAAGGATTTATAAATAATTTCCAAGAAGTCTAATAAAAGACTTAAATAAGCAAAATACATGAGATAATAAAATAAACAACAATAGCATATTCAGTGTGATCTTACAAGTAAGGTACAAGGAGGATAAGATGTACGCATATCTTACTTCTATCTTTGCAGAGTAGAAAAAATGTTTTTGATAGACCCTCAAGCCTCAACTCAAAAGAAAAGATACTCGAAGCAGGAGTGTAAGAAAAATATAACAAAATAATATCAAGATAATACAAAGCAAATGAAATAATGGATACTAATTAAAATAAACA